GCTTAAATGCATTATTTTAAAAATATTGTCTACTATTAAACATAAAGCAGTGCATTTAATAGCCTTAACTTCCATCTTTCTAATTAGGATGCCAGTGATATTGTTGACATAAGAGAAGAAATTGAAAATGATGAAATTGAAACAAAAGGTAAATGATTTACAAATTCATGTACTACTTAAAGTACTAATAAACAAAATATTCTTTATGTTGCATTGCTATTTTTTTGTGTTAGATTGACTAAATTATATTCACTGTAACTTCCATGTGCAAAAAATGCTTTATTTCAGTTAATAAAAAATTGCTCTAAAGGTAAGAAATTCCCCCTACACACAATTTCACTATAAAATGCATACTCCAAGTGGTACCCCTTGGGAGCCATCACCTAAACTTATTTTGGGAATTGTTTTCTTTGAAGAATCCACATGAGGCGTTTGGAAAGATCTAGGAGAAAGAAAGAAAAAATGGATTAGGTTGGCTGCTGGAGAGAGTGCTCCTCTGATTTACATCAGAGAACTGCTGCATTTTGCAAAGCAAGAAGTACTGGTAAAAATTGGGCTTTCTCTCTTACTCAGTATGTGAGCAGTGGCAGCAGGAGACAGAGGGGAGGAGACAACGTATAGGGGTAACTGGGGTAAATGCTGTCACCCCCTGCGGATTTTCACTATTTTGGGTGAAGTGAATCCAAAAACAATCTCAGTTTGCAGGTGTTCTGCACATTGACTGAAGCAGATACTTCTTGAAGATTTCTGGTGAGGACACTGAGACACAAAGTAGATGTGATAAGAAAATGGTTGATTTGTGTGCTGTCTGAAGGGGAGCTTGATAGGTAAAACTCGGGCAAAGTTGGAGAATAAAAAGTAAATTTACATTGTGCAAATAGTGTCAGTTGGACACCAAGAAGAAAGACTAATTTGTGATTTGCAGATATTTGGTTTAGATAGTTGGCTAGGCATTTTATGATTTACTCCAGAAAAAAATATAACATTAATATTCTTTATTTGCTTAGGTTGACTGAAGGGGATGTCTGTCAGAAGACATTGCAAAATATAAGTTTCAGCTTATATTTCAAATATTCAGTATTTTAAAGTTTATAGATAACTTTGTCCAAAATGAGCTGATGTACAAACTAGGTTTGTTTTCCTAGTTAATAAAAAGTGCTATTAATGGGACAGTGAACAAATGTCACATTCATATGCTGGTATCTATTAGATCAAATCAGTCAACTGTTTGGCATAAGAGATAAAACAACAACAATAAAAAGTAATAAAAAAGTCCCAGGATCAGTATCTTCTAATTTGTAAATAAACACTTCTGCATTTTCTTGTTGTATCTGTAATATCTGTGCTAGTGCTCTGGTTGAAGTGACAATTTCACTTAAACAGTAATTCAAAATGGAAAATGTTATGCCCATATTCCTTAATTTAATTGGTTTTAATTTTTTCTCTTATTTTTTGTCAACTATATTATTAATTGCATATTATTTTTTGTTACACAGGAAAATACAGAACTGCTCACAAACCTCATTCCAAACCAAAAATATCAAACACTTTTGAAGTTGATTTTCAAGAAAATGGACATGATACAAAATCAGTGGGCCGTTTTCAGTCAGAGGAGGAACTGTGGGCACGCTTAGAAGAGCTTGAGAGACAAGAAGAGATGCTTGGTGAACTTGACAGGTAAAGTTCAGTAGCATATTTAGGTAATCTTCCATATTATTTTGAATATCCCAACATTGTAGAGTTTGGGGTTTTTTTTTTTTTTGGTTGTTTTCTTTGAGATGATGGAAAAAGAGAAAGGAAAATCTGTTTCTTGCAAGCTAGGTAAAACAGTATAGAATATATTCACAGTATAGGTGTTAGTCATTTATGATTAATTACCTTTTTAGATGTCTTCTGATCCTAAAGAAATACATGCCATTAGCCAGAACACTTCTGGTATCTTCAATTGCCATGGACATCCTGCATTAAAAAAAAAAAAGAACACATAAGCATGTTGATTATTTTGTATGCCTGTCTTTCGCAAGGGTATGGATTGCATTGTCTAATCTAAGTGCACTCACTTAGATATTTTTAATTTTATAGGATGCCTGATGATACAGTTGAGAAAAATGGAGAAGATGCAACCTCTTCTGAAGAGGAAAAAGAAGATAAGAGGACAGATTTGAATGGAGCATACAGAGCAGAGGACTCTCTTTCTCAGGACAACTTCCAGAAAAAAATAACAAATCCAGAATTGTTTGGACTTAATGGCTCTGCTCATTATCACAGTGACGATGAAGATGACATAGATGTTGGAGATTGCTCTATTCCAACGATATTTTTCTCTCATACAGTTGAACCTAAAAGGGTTTGTACATTATTATGTTTCTTTCAAGAGATACATAGAACATATATACCATACACTTTATTTAAAATAGAAAATTTTACATCATGTAGATATTGCAGATATTGCAGAATTTTGACTGTAGATAAAATTTACTTTGATTTGCGTTCAAATGCTTGAAACCCACCATTTAAATTCTGCAGTTAAAACTATGATATAAAAATCTTAAAATGTATGTGTTGTTCTCCTCCTGTCTTCAGAGTTCTGAATGGCAGTATTCCTCTCTAGGATTTTTTTAGATGACACTTTACTTAACATGAAATTCACTGTTGAGCTCAGCTGCTGATAAAGGAGAACTGTTGTATATTATATGCACAGCAATGTAAAGAAATCTCCCAACCCTAGTGCAAATGGTTAAGTAAAAAATGGTTCACGCCATGAAAGTTATTGTTTGCACATCTGTTTAACTTGTTCATGCTTTGTAGTTCCTAACTACTTGGATAGGAGAGTGTCAGAACTCGCATGATACTACAACCTGGGGATTGTTGATTTTATTGTCTAGACCACGTTTCTGTTTGATTTTCAGGTAAGAATAAATACAGGAAAAAATACTACTTTGAAATTCAGTGAAAAGAAAGAAGAGGCCAAGCGTAAAAGGAAGAACAGCAATGGTAATGGCCATGCAGCTCCTGAACTGCCTAACATCAAAACGCCAGCAGACATTTACCGGTGCGTAATTTGTAACGTTAGCGCGTGAACCTTCCCTGTAAGCAGACTTCTCTCTTCATGTGTGTTGGCTATAGTATGAAAATGAACTCCTTGTTTCCCCTGTTTCCTGAAAGAAGCAGCTGGAATCTAACTTACTGCTTCAAAATGAAAATTTGGGACTTCTGTGTGGTTGTCATGTTTTCATAACCATGAAAATCATAGCTTAGAATTTTGTTTTCTTTTAGAATTTTTTAGAATTTTTGTTTTCCTCAATCATATGTATGTTGGTGTATTGAGGCACTTAAATGTCATTAAAAAAAAAAAAGTGTCCCCAAATGTAGAAAGATGAGACCTATCCTGTGCTTAGAGTTGCTGGGACTGAAAATGAGGTATGAGATTCTTCTGAGGTCCTGTATCTGCTCTGCAGAGGAACTCCATCCTTTGTAGAAGATAAGCAAGTGTCCCTAGAAGTGTGTAATGAATATGAAATTGTTAAGAAATAAGCAACACCCTCAAAAGTTATCCAGTCATTGGACTCCTCCTTTATGAGCTTGCTTCTGCTCCTGCTAAAATTTCTGCTGTCTTTCTGCTCTGCCCACCCTTGACTTTAGAAATTAAATTTAAACTATAGGAAGAATCCTGTTTAACAGGTTACAGTCTGTTAATATCTGAAAACTTTCTTTACATTGATCTGAACTTAGAAGCTGATAGTGTGGTTATTCAGAGAAGATGATTATGGCACTTGTCAGGGGAAAAAAAAAATTATCCGCTTGCAAGTAATTTTTTTTTTCCCCCTTAGTATATTTTACATTTGACAAGGATTCATTCTAGGAAACCTTGTGTTGTTGTGACCTTCTGTTTCTCTTTATGAAAATAACCCTGAAAATAGTTTAGTTTACCTTTTTCCTTCTTTTTTTTTTTAAGCTTTATAAATCACACCATTTTTTGTAACACTCCTCAAAGAGCTGTGTGTTTTTTCCTAAAAGAGTATACCAACATTAATGATTGGCTAAGGGGCAAAACAGCATTTTGCTCTGGAGATTTGCTTCTTGTTCATTAGTATATAAAGTGCCTCTAAAGGTACAGTATTATAATTCTACAGCCAAAAAGTTAGAAAAGCATATCATAATTAATTTGTATAAAAGACAAAGCAAGATCACTGGAAATTTGTCATCTGATCCTGAAATGGTTTATTAAAGCTAACATTTCCTTTATAGAGTCTTTGTTGATGTTGTGAATGGAGAATATGTCCCTCGTAAATCAATTTTGAAGTCTCGAAGCAGAGAGAATAGTGTTTGCAGCGATACCAGTGAGAACAGTGCTGCTGAGTTTGATGACAGACGAGGAGTTCAGAGGAGTATTAGCTATGATGAAGCTACTCAGAGTGACAACAGCGAAGGAATATTGGAGGAAGAGGAGGAGGAGGGGCAGCAGCAACTACCAAAAAAGCTTCCGTCCTCATCAGGGACATCTGAGGTACAGTTTTTAATTAATTATTGATTGTTGGCAGGGATAAAAATGAAAAATCTGACCAATGTAGTTGCAGCATCATCATTTTGTTTCATTTCTTTAATATAATTTTCCAACTCCTGACTGATTTCACTTAATGACATTGCCAGGTGACATGTTTCTGCCCTACAAATCCTGGCAGCAATAGAGGAGGGAATGTGTCAGGTATTTGCTGGTATTATGGAAACCAGTGTCTTGTGAACAGGGACATCTTGGAAATTTCATTGCAGGGTAATACAGCAAAAATTAAAAAAAAAAAAAAAAAATGCTAAGTGGTGAATGGGAATGTGGATTCTCTATAACCTACATTTTGTCAATATTCTGGAGCACAGAGACTAGAGGTGTAGTTTCCAAATGTTCTTCTACGTTTTAAACACCACAACAATCTGCAAAGTGATGTTTCTGGGCTCGTCAGAGGGAGAAGAACTGCCCAGTGACAGGAATCATTGAGCCTTTGCTTATGCCCTTGCAAACTCGGTCCATTACTGATCCCAAACTAATCTACTTCAACACTTCTGGAAAGTTTATTGCTTAAATGTAAAGGAAAGAGATTGTGCAACATAAGGAAAAATGTATGTTTGCTTAGTGCAGCTGGAGAATTCGTGACTATGTCTTAATCTTATTTGGTAAGAACTTACCAAATGTCTATGTTTTGGTAAGTTTGGGTAAGCTGAATTTTCTGTAGTACCAGTGCAACAGGCATGTTCAATGGAAAAACCTTGTTAGAAACACTGGTTTTGGCAAAAAATTAATTCCTCATAAAGACTATTTTTAATCAGTATTTTTAATACAGCTGCTGACATGGAGTATGGGAAGATTCATGCTAGAAGATTCTTCTGTAGCATTAGCACTTTAGATTGTAATCTTTCTGGACTACATTTTCTATATTTTTATAGAATATCTAAGTACACTTCAAATTTTAGTCAGTAGTCCACTTTCTGAATGACATGGCTGTTCTTTACATAATGTGTTCTCTAAGTAGCTGAATTAGAGTGAACAGAACACTGCAGTTAAAGACACGTCTTTTGAAATGCTACTGTTTTGCTTTCAGTTGTATTCATGGGTGCTTTAAATAAGCTATTTTTCTATAAGCATTTGCCATGCACTAACTTTTTCATTTGTTTCTGCTGCTACTATGATCTTCTTAGGCTGTGTTCTACTTGCCTGTTCTTGAAACTGAAAAAGTGTTGATTGGACAATGCAGTTGTGTAGAGGCACAGTCTTAGACATAGTTTAGTTATTGGAGCAGAAAACAATATTTTTTGGTTGGTTGTTTTATTTTCAGGTCTTACAAGATAATAGTTGTTTTTTCTTAGTTTGTTTTTCCTGGTAACGGAGTTTTGCAAAAGTGAAATTAGGCATAGGTAATAAATCCATTGTGCATTCCTTTGTGCCCTATATGATCATCAAATCTTGGATGTAAATGGCTTCCCCTTTCCTAAATCATTTTGAGTTTTCTATTCTCAGCACATAGTGTGGTGATTTGTTCTTAAAAATGTTGATGAAAAGTAGCTCTGAGTTGCATTTTTTTCAGGTTTCTTAGTTAAGTGTTAAAAAAAAAAAAACCTTAAGTCATATGATCATATGATAATCTACGTATAAATTACCATTTTTAAACATAAAATGTTTTTATTAGACCTTTTATAGAGAGAGAGAGTTGGAAACAGTTTGCTATTCTCTTAAGTATAAATCACTTTGGCCATTTTTTGATCATATTTGGTAAGGAAAAAGGAGCAAACAAAGTATGTGCTTGCCAATTTGTATGCGGTGTCAGCTTGATGCAATTAGAAGACACTAAGTCACAGAACATGGCGTTTGATGGAAATGCAGGCATACCCTGCTCTGCAAAAATCTTTCCCATCTTTCCCCCCCCCCAAACAAAACTCTACATTACATCAGCTGTTTTATTTCTTGAACATGTGTCAGTGAGAAAGCAAATTTTGAGATCATTTATGCAGTTTGGAATGAGATTAAGTAGTACTTTTAAGACAGTGTCTTTCATTCAGTCGTCTTTGAACAAGCTATATTTTGAGGTTAATTACAATTTGGTTACTTATGCAAGGAACAATCATTGATTTAAAGATATTTCTTTACTTTTGATTAAAAGAAATAACAATCCTAATCAGGCTAATATAGGGTAATGACCTTATGGGCATAGCTGCACATTTGCATTTTATTAGCTCATTTTGAGTATGCTCTTCTATTGTAGGCATTTTCTGGAACTGTTATAGAAAAGGAGCCTTTGTCTCCCTCCTTAATACCACACCCAGTCATTGCTCACCCTATCCTGCCTACCATTCTGGAGAGAAAATCAGAGGAAGTTTTGTCCGAAGCATCAGAAGAAACTACAAAGAGGATTTCAAAATTCAAAGCTGCCAGAATGCAACAGACTAATAACTAGGTCTTGCCTAGACAACAAAAGTTTGAATATTAATGCCTAGTTTCATGTTTGTTGAGATTATGTAAAACTATATGCATTGCACCTAGCTAGTTAAGAGGATGTCCTATGTTAATTTGGCATTGTTTATCTTTTAAAACTCTATTGGCAATATTAAAAAAAAATCAATGTTTAAACACTTCAGTATTCATCTTAATTTGATAATTTCCTTGTATGCTGTCAGCACCTTTGTATATGTTTGCCTTATGATAGCAGCACTTGGATTATTTTTCAAAAAATGTTCCTTACATTGTTTTGTGTTTAAACCTAAATACAGGCAGTTCTCTACCAGCTGTGATGTTCTACATACCATATGGACCGTATTAAAGAAACTTTTCACATTTCAAGTAGATTCAACAATTATACTACATTACTTGCTTTGGTATTTTAAAAAACACTTGTATTCATTGTTGTAGGTTTTGCAACTAGGTGTCTGCTAAGTTTGTTTTTTTCCTTCTATCAAACCTCTCTGGTTACAGATCTATAAAATGCTGGGTTCATGTACATTGCAGGGAAGTTTCTTTGATGGAAAAGGGTATTTTGTAAAATTAAATTTTCAGTAAAAAGCTGTGAAATTTATGGATTTTGTTGCTTTATTAATAATTTGAAAATAAAACATGGAGAGGTTTTTATTTTTAACTTGCATTTCCAACTTGAAGTGCTTGCTACCACATGGACATAAAAGCAGCCCATTCTCCTCTGCCATTGTGTTCTAACCTCCTGTTAAGTGAATGTCTATGGAAATTGAATGCTCTTAAGGAGAGAAGCATAAACTCAGACTATGATTACAAAATCTCCTAGTTCTTTTGTATAGTCAGAAAACATTACAATTGTCTTGGGAATGCCCAGAGGGAGTCAGCACTAAGGAAAAATGTCTTAATGCTTCAACTTTATTTCAAAATGTAAGAGCGCTACAACACTAGGGGTACAATTTTGTATATCATCTTGAGTGAGAGCCATGCTGGCTCTAGGAGTTCCTGCCTCAGAAACTGTCCTCTTGCCATCCCGAGTTGTGCTGGCACAGCTTTTGCTAGGTCACCCCTTCAAAGAAATAGCCAACTGAGATGGCTTTAAAATGAAACCTAACAAAACAAACAAAAACCACCAATTTGAGTTGTGCGTGTTTCTTAGAAGCTATCCTGTTCCGTGATCTGTTTCTCAGCATGTTTGCAGCAGCATAGTTAAAGGGGTCCGGTGTTGAGAAGGACAAAGGGAAAGCAGTACACCACCTTAACCTGGTGGTACTCTTAAGCTGACATCATTGAACTAGAGTCTTAAAAGTGAGACTCACAAGACGTAAGAAGGGACTTGCTTCTGGCTGCGGTTTGGTGACTTTGGAAACGCACAGCTCCTTAGAGCTGCCAGCAGCTCTTTTCCAGCAAGTCGCCCATCTGTGTGAAGCGCAAGTCGGGTAAAAGTCAGGAGGCCATTTCCTCCTCCCCAGCTAAGCTTTGTCCTTGTGATCTTTTGCCCTCAAGAGCAGAGCACTTCATCTGTTAACCCAGACTAGCAGATATGAATTACCAGCCCCTTGTGTTCAAATACACTTTTTTCTCACTTTAAAAGGAGTCTGGAAGCCCTGTTACTTCAGTTTCTAAGGTAACTTTTAAAAAGTGGCAGTTGTCTCATGTGCATTGCTAGGTCCATAGTGTAAGCTGCTGCTTGAAGCAGCTACAGGGGTTAGGAGAGAGAAAATGCTGTCCAGGCCAAATGTGCCCTGTGTACTCATAGCTGTGTAAGCATCTGGTGGTGAGGTCCTCTGTTGTGCATGTGGAAGGTGATACAGTCAGAAAACTCATGTTGAGAGTTTGGTAGAAGGAGGCAAAAAGGGGGCTTCTGACATAGCCAAGGAGAAGTGACCACAATGACCAGCTCAGTTCTGCCCCTTTGTGCTCTGGTGGCCAAGGGCTAAAGGCCCTAGCAAGGGAACGTGTGGCTCGTTGGGAGTGCTCTGTGCTTTCAGGAGCCACTCATGGAGAGCACCGGGATGAATTTTCCCCAGAACATGGAAGCAAATCATGTTTTGTTTTGAGGCATGAGCTCCTCTCTGGAAAGTTGTGCAGTTTTCCTGTGTGCCTGGCTCCTTGGAGACTTCTATGTGGGAGGGGGCAGTTAGAGTTTTAAGCAGATCCTGAGAATCATATTGAAAGTGTTAATGATTAAATTGATTCATGCTAAAATGAAGACTTTTTTTTTTAAAGCATATTGCATTAGTACTAAAATAAGCCATCAATGCCAGTCCACCCTCTATTCACGGCTAAATATTTAAAGGAGGTTATTTATAGCTTCTTTAATGAATTCTTGGCTAAACAAAATGAAATTATGTCCTAGAAAAGTAGAAGCTATTTTGTAACCAGAACAGTGCAACTGTAAAATATAGTTCCATGAATATGTATTTTAAATAACAAGGGGTTGAGATCCAAGACTACCAGACATGGGTAATTAGAGGGAAAAGGAAAAAGAGAAAGAAAGAGAGAGAGAGAAACCCCTTTAAAAAGATTTATTTAGATATCTTCTGTAATGCTTCCCACTTCTAGTTACTTGAGCAAAACCAAATACCCCTTGTCACCATAGATCAGGTTCAAATCAAAATTAATTCTTTGCTTGTTTTCCTTCTCCCCCCATCTTTCACAACCCTGTTCACAAGAAAAAATAGAATAATAGAATAGCACCTTGGGTTTTAATGAATTATGGCCTTGGTTCAAAGGCGCATCCTTGCCCAGGAATGCACTTTGGCATGTGCTTGTGTCTCAAAGATTTCGGAAAGAAGAATGGATTTAACCACATGCTTAAAACTAAGCACATGAGTGTTTTGCCTAATAGGGATCCTCAGTGTGTCTGTGCTTTTTTTTTTTTTTTTCTTCTTTTTTTCTCTTCAGTACATTTAGTTTAGTTGGAGGGTTTGCAGATCACAATGATCCTTTATCTTCGGTCTCCTTTCCTGGCCTTTGCTGTTCAATATACTTTCTAAAGCATTGAGATGAAGCAACATTGCCACATTTTGAAGTGTTTTAAGTTTCTTGGTAGAAAATGAGTCCATCAGTAACAGCATCTTTTTCACCTCATGCTGGAGTTTTTATTCACTTTAAAAACAATAAGAGTATAGTCTAGCATGCTTTTAAAGTTGCCTTGATGGCACTTTTCCCTGCGGCGGGAATAGGGCTGCTCGTGCCCTGGAGCCCGTGTTGGCCAGGGAGCGGCCGCCTCAGCGGCAGCCATGTGGGGCTCACAAGGCGCCGCCGAGGCCACGCGCGGCCTCCCCGAGCTCTATGGCGGCTCTACTGCCCCCAGGGCCGCCCGTGAGCAGCAGCAGACCCGTCTGCCACGTCCACACGAGCAGCAGAAGCGGCGCTGCAAGGAGGAAGCTGAGATCTCCCTGCTGGGGTGACGGCCGTTGAGGCTCACATAAGGAATGAGGTAAAGGCCTGCAAGCTGCGCAGGAGGCTCCAAAATGTGGTTGCTGAAAAGAAAAGAGTCCATTTGAGAAAACAGATATGGGGAGGAAAGACGCAGAGCAGAAAATGCTGATTAGAGCTTCAGCAGTCACGTAGCAGAGGTCGAGGCCTAGCCAAAACTGAATCCCGAGCGAAACCTGATGGTCGCGACGGGATGACAAGACTACTCTGGAGCCAAGTGATGCTGGAGGAGGAAGCACCGTTGCCTCCTTTCCCTGCAGTGACACCCATCATTAGCCAAGACGATACCAGGAGGAGCTTTGTGTGGAGGTGAGTCCCAGCACTCGGTGGAGTAAGCGCATGGTGTATCCACCATGGTGAAGTGGTGGATAACGGTGCCTGGCCCTGCTGTCTCATACGTTTGCTAAACACTTCATTTGTCAGCTCTGCCGAGGGAATGCAGCCCTACGGCCACGTTGGCGGCTTCGCGGGCCGGCCCCGGCGCGCACCGTGGTGCCCCGTAGCAGCAGCACACGTGGCTCCGCTCTGCTCCCGCCCCTCTGTTTGCAAAGCGGTGGGTCCTGGCCTGGCTCGCAGACCTTGGAGCCATTCCCACGGCTTTCCCAGCAAATTATTAATCGGAAGTGACTTCCCAAACTATGCGCCTTTACTCTCACCGGCCAGGCTGCTGTGAGAAATCATATTGATGGCCAAAGACACCCACGCTCAGCTCCCATCCCTGCCGAATCCTACATCCTTCATCCCATGCAGGATGTGGCTCAGCTGTGCCCAAGCCCAGCCCTGCCCAACCCAACTGAAAGAATTACCTGCTCTACCCCAGTCCTAATAGTGGGGCAGGTTTGATTCTCTAATCTTGTCTAATTGGCTGCCAGGGTGGGGGCACCTTCCCATGGGCAAGGCAGGGTGTGTGTGGTGGGGTGTCCTCCTTGGAGTGAAGCGGCCAGGACTGGGGGGACAGAGATGAAGCCAAGGAAGGCAGCAGGATAAATCCTCAAGGCTGCTGGTGCCTCCCTTCCAGCTGCAGACCAGAAGCAGATTCATGGAGGTCTTCATGGGAATTCACAGGTAAGCTGGCTTCATTCTGCCAGCTCGACTCTGAAACGAGTTGTACTTAGGTTTTTTTTTTTCTTGCTCACATAGAGCATCTAAAGCAGCAGATTTTTGTGTGTTTCAAGAGTGTCTAAAGCAGCTGTTTTAGCTGTTCATTTTAACAAAGTGATTTATGTTGCAAAAAATGAGCTGGGATTAAAAGAAATCAGATGTGTGTATTTGGTATGCAATATTTTTGTATTACAAATAGCTCCATTCTAACCCACATTAACCCCATGATATGTGAATTTTGCCAACTCCCGCTGTGTCTTTTAAATCAAATCCAGTAAATCACTCTGAGTGTTCTAATTTCTAAACAAACTAGTCTTCCAATAGAAGTACTTTAACACTGTATTGCAAATTAGACAACCTAAGATAAATGGAACATCTCTGTTGATTATGTAGCTTAATTGATCAAAAGTACCAGATATCTTCTAAAAATACTGCAATATCAGACTTGCTGCTCTTAAACAGCATTTCATTGGGTCCTCAAGATATACATTATTAGGCAGCAAAAATAAATTCTTTTGTTACTGTTCAGTTAGCGTGACACGAAATCTCTCATAATTGAACCAAGTTTTTTGAAAGATTTTCTTTTTCCATGATTCCTTACCCTGCTTGTTGAGCACGAAGCACTTTCCACTTTACGGAATAAGCAGCAATTTACCTGAATTGCGGCCGGGGCGAGGAGCGAGGCCCTGGGCACGCGTGCGGCCGCAAGGGCGAGGGCCTGCGCGCGCCTCTGCTGCGGCCCTGCTGCTTCTGTGTCATTAATTTTGCATGCCGGTAGGTAGCAGTGCTGAGCAAAAGCAACAACGGAAAGCTGCCAGTCAGTGATTATAATTTATTATTCATTTCTGTTATAGGTGGGGTGTGCAGACAGTTACAGTAATAATTACCAAGACTAGGGTGTTTCCTAGGCAACCGCTTTTTTTTTTCCTTCATTCATGCTGTTGCGGAGAGTATGCCTGTAAAGCATGACATTGCTGTATTCGGAGGTTTGTTGCCCTCCTGCTGC